ACTGTTTATCAGCTGTTCTCTGCTGTGATTGTTATACACTGAATATAATATAAAATATCCATGAAACATGTAATTAAATTAGAGGTGATAAAGGCTGAGAGACACTGAAGTAGGAGACATCTTGTGTCCAACAGGAAACCTTTAGAAATTAACAAAATCTGAATAAATCCTGAGATTATTTTATTATTTTAGGCAGACGGAGCAGATGCCTTTTTAAGGATTCCCAGAGTGTAATTAATATAAACTCTCCTAACTTACATAAAGCAGGGTGGTTCATCCTCTGCTGCAGACACATTCACACTGTGGAGTGTCACTGTCTCTGCACTAACAACAATAATAATACATGTTCTCTGCATCAGATGGAAGGAAAAAACGCACCTCACGCACTTCCAGCACTGAGGTGACAGTTCCTCTTCCATGTTCCCCTTTCAGCTCTCACAACGAGGCCACACACTGCGACAGGGATGGACCAGCTCCATGTTAATGCAGTCAGACGATAACGCAGGGACAGGGGCTCAGAAAAATGTCCATTTTTTCTTCTTGGGACAGGCCCCTGAAACCACCCCCACCCCCCTAAAAAAACCCTGCACCGACACGCGTAATGCCGTTACGCCCTTCGCTTCTCCCCCAACCACAGCGGCGTTCAATGACACCAACTACACTGTATCTTTCAGCTTCATCTCCGGCTCACACCTCCACTCCACCGGGGATGTTAAATCAATGAAAAGCATGCCAAAGCCTCTGTGTCGGTATCCAGCAAATCTCTCCCCTCCACCCTCACCCTCTCTCCCTCCTTCCTCCTCATCCTCCTCCTCCTCCAAGCTACAATGAAACGACATTTTCCTGGTTCATAAACTCACCTCATTTGGTTGGAAACTGTCGCCGCTGCCGTCTCATGATGGATCCATGACGGAGAGGTGTGTGAGTTTATATGTCGGGGTGTGTTGTGCTCATGGTGCAGCGCCGGGGCTCCTCTCTCTGCAGCGGCAGCAGCGGCTCTCTCTCCCCGCCTCCGCGTTCACTGTTTTGGGTTGAGAGGAAAAGTGATGTCATTGCATGAAATTGCATTACCCGCCCCATTTTTTTTTTCTCTCATTCAAGAGGCTGTCCCATGCTGCCAAACATAACTTCACCATATACTTAAAAAGCTCCCTGTATATCGTGGTTTACAGGGACCTTAAAATATTCTCTGCACACTTTAAATACTTCTGTACTGGTTATAAATCTGCTCAGATCTGGAGATCATTAAAGCCCCCCCTCACCCCTCGACCCCCCCATCTGCTCAAAGGTCTGTTTTTCTTCTTCTTCCTGCAGTTGGATGTTTGAATGATGTCTGTGCAGAGTTTGACACAAGAAGGATGTTTTTACATTCATCTGCTGGAAGTGGAAAGTTTCTTTGAGCTCATTGAAAAGTTGATTTTTTTTTTTTAAAGGGGCGGGGCCTATGAGCATGATTTGTGACATCACAAATAGTTTTGAAGCCTCAATTGGACCACAAAAGTACCCAAAGGTAAGTGGTTCCCACCCTGGGGGGCACAAAGCCTTTAATGTTGCTAGAAAACTTATATATAATATAAACAGTCTCATATCTCAACATTTAGTTCTTCTGCCAATAATGTAAATTGTGTAATAGAACAATGGTCAATCGTCAGGGACAAAAAAACAGGAAATTTGTCCAAAAAGAATCCTATTTAGTCTGAATGATTGTTAAAAATGATTTAAAAATACATAATACAGACAGATAATTGTATAAAAAGTTCCAAAAACAGGAAATAATCTGCTTAAAATTCATCCAAATCACTCGTTTTACATAAATCACTGGAGTTCACAGTTTGGGTTCATTGTAGTTTTGAATATAATATTAAATATCTATAAAATATGTTACTTAGTTTAATAAATGATAGAAAAAGGGTCCCTTAAGGAAAAAGACTGGGAGCCACTGCTCTAAAGGGCCCCTCAGATGTTAAATACATTATTTTGACTGGAGACAGACGACAAACAACGCTGTCCCTTAAAGCTGCAGTACGTAACTTTTATAAAAATAAGTTTTTGTCTTTATTTGAGACGCATAATCTGATTCCTCCTCGTGCTCCTGATGGCGTCTGCAAGAATCCACCGAACCAAAACAACCAATCAGAGCAGAGAAAGATATAAAGACGCTTTGGGACGCCTGGACAGACACGATCTGGTATTCCAGATAAACATTAAAATGTGTTTGTGAACAGATTTGAGGAGAGAAATAGTCAACAACAGAATCTGGATCA